AATCTAGATAAAAATATTAAAACAAAGGTCTGAATTCAATCTCAAAAAGCTTCCAAGACCTACTGTTCATTCTTCACTCTTTGTTTTTTCATCCAGGGAAAGTTTTTTCCTTTTGATATATGAAAGTGACATGAGAATTATGCAGCTTTGAGTTTTAATTTGAATCAGAGAGATATCATTCTTGCAGAGTGAAATAAAATTTCCCTAGAAAGTAAACTGCTTGTGGTCCTCAAGAAATAAAAAGCTAGGAAGTTATAGCCCTAGACTGATCACGGGCTAGCTAGTATAGAGAATTTACAGAGAATCCTCTTTAATTTAAAGTTCAATCATTAATTAACGTTGTTTTTGTCATTAATGCCATTTATTCTTAACCACCAACAATGACATAAAAACATGCGCATGCCTAAGAAAATTAAAGGTACATGGTAGTAGCCACCACAACTCATCCCTTATTTAGGTCCAGTGTCCTAATTAACGGTACACTACTGTCCATAAGTACCATACCCATCAAAATAATTACGATGAAAATTAATAGAATGATCCCAAACAGCCCTTTATGTGTGGCTTCCAATAGCCGGAAACCTTGACTAGAATTTATATATATATATAACCATACCATGAGAGACTTTCCGATTCTCCATTATGGAAGAAAACCCTAAATGGGGTTTTTAAATTGAAGTAGTTTTAGTGCATCAGATACCTCCTTCTCCTCCTCCACCTGCAGATGGGTTGTCATTCCATGGAAGAGAATTATAAGGTAGAGAGAAACCACCAGTAGCCGGGGGCTGGTAGAAGCTGCCGACCGGTCTCTGATGAGAAGCCGCCATAGGTTGAACTGAGGTCGCGGCCATGTCTGGCGGTACAGGTAAGGCAGTAGGGATTTCATTACAGGCATACCGCATCAAATCCGCGTTGGCGGTATCCAGTTCTTTTTGGAGCCTTTGGACCTGTCTTTGCAGAAAAGAGATAGCACCGACACAGCCGTAGACAGGATCTCTTACCCTTGCCTCGGCTTCGTAGGCCAGGGAGTTCACGGCATCCTCCCTCTGGTGAGGAAGGAGCTCATTCAGCATCTTAGTCACATTGCTTGCACCGAAGATCTTGTGAACGTTGGCGAATTTCTGTGGCTCCTCAGGCGGGAAGTAAGGTGCAAAGATGCAACCGGGCATGCATTTCCTTCTCAAGAACTTGCAGGCAGCACAGGGGGAATTGTAAGAGCTGGAAGATGCCATTTTTCACTGCAACAATTTACACCAAAACAGAACAACCAATAAGTTCTTCTGCGCTTCTTTTAATTTATTTCATATAGAACCTATAGAACCTTCTTTCAAATTAACTCAAAAAGATTTCAGCTTAATTAAAAGAAAATTATATATCTAAAACTTAGAATTATTGCTCTGAAGTAAGACCCTTTTCAGTTTTTCTTTGTTTGATTTTGGGAGAATATATATATATATATATAAATATGTATATACACACTCCTGCAATCTGATTAGGGTTAACCACAATGAATTTTTAGTGACCAATATAGAGTTATTGAACATGACGCGATATATTAGACAACTTTGAAAAAAAATCAAACAGTTATTAATTTGAAAAAGTATATCACAAGATTTCCAATTGTAATAGACAAAATCTTATTTACACCTCTCTCTCATATATAAGAACACGGGGAGAGAAATCTTCCTAAACATTTATGCATAACAATTCAAATTTGGGAATTAATTGTGTAATCCTTTATTGTGCTTATCAAAAATTTGCATTTGGTTTTTTTTGCAAATCCCTTTCTTTTCACTCTGTCATTCTTTTTCCTTTTTTCTTTGTTACTAATTTTAATAATTCTTATTTGAAATAATTCTTACACTGTGACCTCAAAATTCACAAAGACCTAGCTTCTGCATGTCACCATTAAATTCAGCTTCTAAGTTTGTCTTTTTCATAATCCATTGATAACTCTCTCTCTTCTGTCAAGACTAAGCTATTTTTAGAAGAATTCAGTTTGTCTATGATATCTTTTATAAATTCACAGCATATCCTTATGAAATATTGAAATGAACCTGGGATCTGACTCTCTGAGTATAGAGTACTAATGCAATTCATCAGGCTATCATTTCTTTCTTTTTAATTTCTTAGGTACATGGACATGACAAAGCCCTAAACCAGAGCCTTTAGCCAAAAAGCGTCAAGTATCTCTTTAGCCTTTTGTTTACCAAGAAGAACAGAAACAGAAAAGAATTATAATTTGCGGAAGAAAAAGAAGCAACACTGCAGCCTGCAAATATATATTTACCTGTTTGGGATCTGTATGTTTCTTTGATCAGAAGAATAAAAAGGAAGTACCTTTTTCCCTTGTAGTAGCTCTTTCAAGAAGGTGTCTTCTATGGTCTTTCGAAGACAATTAGGAAGTTATTGCAGAGGGGATGATGTGTGAGCCTCAAAGAGGAAACCCTAATTGGGGAAGGGAGAGATCCGAAAGGGGGGTGCAAGTTCTCAGTAAGGATAGAAGGAAGGCAAAGAGAACTTAGTGGATGAAGAAGGGGAATGGAGGCAAAAGACAAGGGTAATAAATTGGGAGGTACACTAAAGAATGACTATGACATTGCATCTAATAATAATATCAGGGATGTGGGGATGTCTCCCATCTCAACATTTTTCTCTTTTTCTCATGCATTAATGATACAACATATATTCCCTAATCCAAAAAATAAACCAAAGTAATGGGGATTTAAGATTAAGCACAATTAACAAAATGGGAAAAGAAAAAGCAGACCGAATTGTTGTATAGTTCAAAGATCCTCCATTAGAGCATGCTGACTTGAATTTTAATAAGCTTAACTATCTACAAAATTTTAAAAGGAAATAAATAAAAGAAACATTGGTTGGCATATTGCAAAAAGAGCTCACACTGTATGAAGAAATAAAGATACAGCCCTAATTAATTCCGCATACAATTAAAGGAGTCTCCCCATATGGAGCCAAATAACGGAATTCTAACTGAAAAGGGGCTATTTCTTTAATTTAATTCATATAAATTGTCACATAAAAAAATTCACACAAATTTTACTTTCTATATTATAATTAAGATTTGTATGTAATTTAAAATTTTGAGTTTTATAATAATTGTTTATCAGCCCCGTGCTAATCTCTCTTATCGGCTCAAACTCTTGTGATTAGAGTTACAATTTAATTAGCACCCTCTTCTTATTGATGTTGAGCCTCCAACCACCTAGGCTATAAGATCATTGATAATTAAATAGTACAAGCTTAGACCCACTTTTGTTTAGCTATTTAAGAATAATCGATGTTTGATAGGCATAGGCTTCGAATGAGAATTAATGTTGCATGGCGCTTTGGTTTTTTGATTTTTTGCCTTGGACAATAATTTATACATATTTTAATTTAATACATTTTGCAATACACTTTTGAAAAAATTATTATTTTTAAATTTGAATTACATGTGAGAAAATTAAAAACTATCAATTTTAATAGTTGAGTTAGTAAGTGTTTTGAGGTGTATTAAATTAGAGAATGTATCGATTTTTTTTTTATCTTTTATTATTATAAAAATATAAAATATTAATATAAATATTAGATATATTAAATATATTTATATATTTTTGAGATATTAAAATACCACAAAACACAATTTCTACAACCCAACATTCTCAAACAAACCAAAATTGCATATGCAATTTTTTCTTTTTTATCTAGATATAATTTAAACATTTTATTCTTCATCTAATTATATACAATAGTTATTAGTTGGTTTTTGAGAAGGATAAAGATATGTGCACACCCGGGTCAACACCCGGGTGTGCACACTCCCCCATTGAAAAAAAAAAAAACCCAACCCCCCCCGGTCCC